TAAATAACTGGAGAGTTAGGAATTATATCTTGACTTCCAGGAAAAAAATAGTGAGAGATGTTTTTTTAATATCATTGCCTTGTGGTTATCTCTTGCTTTTCTCTCCAAGGTTTATGAGCAAACATAGTTCTTTCTCAGTCACATCCACTCTGAGCAAATGGAATGCCTAGGAATAAAGTCCCAATCCAGTTCAATGGAATTCAGTAGAAATCTTGGGTAGACTCTTCAGAACATAGTGTCTCAGGAATAAAAATACTTCATCTTTTGAAATGATGAATTCATTATGGCTTGTGGGTATGAGAAATAATTCAAACCTTACTCATTAAAAATGCTTACTAAATGGTCAAAGAAAAACAAGTCATCAACTGTTTAAACCACGTTGCACACCCACATGAAGAAGCTGTGTGGCTTCAAGGATCACATGCTCTGCATTTAGAACTACCATGGGAGTAAATGATTACTAGGTCCCCTGTGTCCTGTAAGGATGGTTTAGACATAATGACTTTAGCAGGTAGGGTTGACACCTATGCAATTTGATTAATGGACTATGGAGAAATAAATATAGACTCAAAAGATCATTCATTCTTTTGAAGTCCTCATTTTGTACAACCCCAACAAACACAGTGATTCATTTTGGATTTTCTTGTCTTGTTTGTTTTATTTGTTTGCCTGCCATACTCCAAATGGCATTTCTTGGTTATGATCATCAGATAAGTAGATAAATTAGGTGTCTTTTATTCCTAAAAGGTTGATATTAAAAATCTTTCTTAATTTAATCTAGTAAGATAAGATCTCAGAGAAAATATACACATTCAAATCATGTTTCTGCCTCTGATTTCATCACATGCATTTTTTTCTCTAGAATAATGAGAAAAAAAAACAGTATATGGTGATCCACTCCTTTAATTCACAGCACTCAGGGGAAAGAGAAAGGTGGATCTTTGTGATTTGGAGACCAGCTGGTGAATTCCAGGTCAACTGGGGTTACAGAGTGATGCCCTATGAATAATAATAATAATAATAATAATAATAATAGAAATAATAATAATTCTTAAAAATAAAAGAAACAAGCTATTATTTGGCACATCAAATAATACATGTATGAAGAGACTGTGTGCTGAGAGATTTCCAAAACAATGTAGGCTATTGCTGTTTCCATTGGTTTCCTTTCATAGGTTGAAGGTAAGTTCCTATTGCTGAACATACCATACACTTCAGACACAAGACCCAGAGGAACTAAGCTGTATGTGACCTGAACACCTCTTTCCTGAAAATTAACTTCTGTAGATCAAGCAGGTGCTATGCAAGCTTCCAAAGGAGAGAAGCAGCCAATGGTCCTACCAACTGTGATGCCTGTGAACCAGTACAGCTCCCCAGGGATGAACTTCAAATTGATTACCAATACCAAGTGGTCAGCCCTGATATACATACAAATAGCACTAAGTAGACTGAGACAATTGTATTTACATATTTAGGCCTTTATACATATGTTTATGGTGCAATCACAACTGAAAAGGAGCCCATGATTTCAAGGAGTAAGGGGAGGAGCCACTGGAGGAGTTGTGAGGAGTTGAGGCAAGGGAGAAAGTTATGCAATTATATTTTAATTTTTAAAAGCCTTTAAAAGAATTACAATCTTAAAAACAAACATAAAACTTTGATAATAATAATACATTTAAATGAAATTAACTTTCTTCTTTTCTGTGTTTTTATTCAAATTTAAAAACAATCTTATTTTACATAACAATTGCAGGTCCCTCTCCCTGCCATCCTGCCATGCCCCCACCAATCCTCCATCCCACCCCCATCCACTCCCCAGGGAGGGTGAGGCCTCCCATGGGGGGATCCTCAAAGTCTGTCATTGTTTTGGGGGCAGGTGCTCCCCCATGTATTTAGGTTGAGAGAGTATCCCTCCATAGGGATGGGACTCCCAAATTCCATTCACTAGGGATAAATACTGGTTCCACTGCCAGAGGTCCCATTGACTGCCCTGGCCTCCCAACTGACACCCACGTTCAGGGGGCCTGGTTCAGTCCTATGCTGGTTCCCCAGCTGTCAGACTGGGGTTTCTGGCACAAGGAATAAGACAGTATGAAAAGACTTTAGCTGCTTGGCTTGCAGACAGGCATAGGATTAGGCAATTATACATCATAAATTTTGGCTGGCATTTTTGATCAGAATCACCTATGAAATCTACTAGTTGGAATCCCTGGGGTTTATCCAGATATCCTAAATAGATATCTCCAAAATCTAAACCTCCAAAGGGAAAAATGGGATTTCTATGCTTTTTAAGCATCAAAAATAACTATGGTACTCAAAGTTTACAACACAAACTTGAGAACTTTTAACTATTTTAATGCTGTACAATCATCAAATTTCTGTTGTCAAGATATAAAGGAATCTAAAAAGTTATTATAATTATTGACGCATGCAATAGTCAGTATTATTATCAACTTCTATCCATCACTGGGATACCAGCTCCATTCCAGCTTCATAGTGGATATTATGACTCTGTGTATTTGTATTCTAGCCATATCTGTCTACTCTCCAGCTCAGAAGAATTCTGAAGACTGACTTTTATGATTTTGCTCTCCTCAGTTCTTCTCCAGGCTCTAGGAAGACAAATCAAAAGGAGACTAGAGGAATAGGACCCAGATCTTAAACATTACACTTAGGATTCTGTAAAAGGCTGTTCTTTCACCCTGTCTCCGAACAATTCCTCATATTCTCAGCAAACCAATTGCTCCCACATCTGCCCTCTATTATAATTTATTCATGCAATGTTTATAGATACATTGTGTTTGAGTATATTGTCACTTGGGTTTTGCATCATGCCTTATGCTTTCCTTGGGCAGCAGGCTAAATGTTAGGACATTTTTATATCCTTAGAAAGGGTCTGGCAAGTAGGCCACTATTTGTCCAATAGCTAAATATTGTTTTAATCATGCTGAGGCACCTCTGTTCTTCTGTGCTTCTTCAATGACACTTACCTTTTATTGCTGTTTATTACCACCATGTGGCTGTATTTTGCCATGTGTGGCATGAGACAGCTTCTACTAGTTTAAAATTTCCCTTGAAAAGTGGAATGAGTTTTGTTCTATCATAAGCCTGTCCATCTCTGGCATAATAAAAACTTTGTTCCTATTTATTGAGCTGGGACTTGACTAAGTGTATCCAAGATTTTACAAAAGAAGAGATTTTGGAGAACACTGAGCATTAAGATGACAGCACCGGCTGTCCTCAGAAGAACGTAACTTGTAACTATGATTTACTGAAGAGAGAAAAGGCATAATGAGAAAAAAAAAGCTTACTCCACTCCTCATATGTTGTATACTTTTCACAAACTACTCAAGACTTTTTTGCATTTCAGTGTTATTATTTGTAAAGTTAAAGGACCAGACAACATCAGTGGTGTTCAAATATCACTAATAAGCAGAATCATTAGGGAGACATGAAAGTGCAGGTTTCTTATTATCAACCAATTTCAACTCAATTTCAAATCAAATACATCTGTATTTTTTAACACATTCCCAGATGTGTATATCTGTGTGCCTCATCCCAATTCACACACTAAAACCCAAATCCCAGTTGATGGAATTGAGATGTAGGTCATTTAAGGGTAGTCAGGTTGTTAGGACCTTCATTTTGAGGATTGGTATTCTTATAAGAAGTGGCCAATGGGTAACCTGCTCTTTGCCCACCATGTGGAGAAACATGAAGGCAATGAGCATCATTAACAGAGAAAAGAGGTCCTGGTAAGAATTTCATCCAGCTGTCTTCCAACCTTAGGCCCTACTCACCAGAACTGTTAGAAAAAGATGTCTACTTATGTTATAGTAATGAAGCTTTGCTACAGTTTTTCAAATCTGAAAACAACTGAGACAGATGGTGGATAATATGCCTGTCAGTAATGAAATGAATATTGTTTCATCCATGGTCATATAATGAAAGCTCATAAGGGAAAGTAATCAATGGAAGGCATATAGGAATGGTCAGCGTGTAGGTGTGGATGATGCTTCTGTCATATGATTAATTTGAGTTTAACCTTTGGTCAGAAGACAAAGAGTTGAGTTCAGCCTTGAAACTATTAACTTGTCTGAGAAGTGTGTCCTTATGGCTATGCTCAGGCTGCACTAAACACTTGGTCTCTCGTGCCTATTCTCTCATGGCACCCTGTGAAAGTTACTGTGACATCTATAATGAAATTTATCCTCAACTACCTGGAGTCAAAATCAGTTCATAATTTTTCCAAGCCTAATTCTGATACACTCTAGTCAACACATGACACAAAAAGTAATAAACAATTTCTGTTGCCTTTCAAGTCAAATTAAGATAATAAGATGATTTACAGAATTTCCATTTTTTAAAAAACATCAAGTTTGCAGTTAATAATATAGCACTTTCTAATTATTGAGGAATAAATGAAGGTATAGTTTAAAATGTACTCCAAAAGATTAAACAGACAGATACATATCATTCAGTTTTTACTGATCTATAGCTACCTCAGAAATGGATGGAATGTGTATATTCCTGTGCATTGTGTAAGTTATGCTCTGATTGGTTTAATAAAAAGCTGACTGACAATAGCCAAGCAGGATAAGGTGACTGAAAACCAAACTAAGGAGGGAAAGAAGGGTGGGGCTGAGAGAGACAGCAGTGGGCTGCCCAAGAATGAAGATGCTAGAGGACAGGTAAGCCACAAACCATGTGGCAATACATAGATTAATAGAACTGGTTAATTTAAATGTAAGAGCTAGTTAGTAATAAGCCTGAGCTATTGGCTGAACATTTATAATTAATATAAGCCTCTGAGTGGTTATTTGGGAAATGGCTGGCAGGAGAAAAGTGTCCACTTATATATACATATATATATGTGTGTGTATGTATGTGTGTATTTGATAGTATAATAATATATACCATATTATTATAAAATGCTAATTTTTGTTAAATACTATTGAGAAAACTTATTTCTTAAATTGAAACTATATAAAAATACATACATTTTTGAAAGGTTGAAGTTCAAACTCCATTATTTTAATGGTTAACAGCTGTCTGGTATGAAAAAGATCCATTATTAAACTTGTGCAGAATTTAATTAAACATATTTTTAAATAGTTCTCACATTTTCTAAATATAAACAATGGTGTGAGTGGGGCTTATTTTATATGATGAAAAGACCAGCTTTTCCCCCCTCTTTTCTTTTAAAATTTTGCCACCATGGATATTATCTTATTCCAAGATCTAACACCCTTTTCTTGTGATATGGGATCTCTGATTTTTATATATTAATATAAATGGAAATACAAACATATGTAGTTTGCTAGTTTAATTTATTCTCTGCCTTTAAACAAACATTTTCAGCTTTATCTTCTTTTGGCTACATGTCTTTACTTTGCACCCAAACAATCAGAAATGGATATAATTCTTCAATGTGTGATGTTCTGACACTTTTATTTCACACTGGTACTTGTTAAAAAGCTAAGTCGCATAAATAATTACATCAGCTAAAAGAGACAATTTTTTCATAGGAAGCTGCTCATTGAAGGTCCTGCACAGTACGTTCTGAGCCCAATTCAAAGGAGACATTCCTAAACTCCACAAGACTGCCTCTCCTTTGAGGGCCATTCCTTCAGAGAAATGAAGGGAGCAGTTTGGCTTGAATTATCAAGCTTTTGATGAAGCATTTCCAATAAATTCTACTACTCTCTGACCCAACTTTTGCAAATCTTTTTTGAGAGAAAGTTTCTGGCCGTCATCTCAAAGTAATGTGTTCTTTCAACTAATTCCACCCTAGAAATTTCTACTTCCCGGTAGCAGCTAGCAGCTGTGCTCCAGTACCAAAGATTTCAGCTACCCCTGGAAGCTTTTCTTCTCAAGAGGTTTCCAGCAAAGAGCAGAAGTTCTCCCTTCCTGTGCTGGTCGTAGCTACCAAACAGACCACATTCGATGAAATTGAAATGCCTACATAATCTATTATTATGGTTTCTTCACGTTATTCAACTATGTGTGCTATGTTCTTCCAAGACAAAGATGACACTGCTGCTCACCCCTAAGGAAAGTGTTTTGCAAGGAACTTTAAAGAATGTTCAGTGACTCATGCACCATCTTTTCATTTCCCCTTGTGACTAAAAACAAGTCTTTTGAGAGACTTGGCTGCATCAGAAGTTCAATCTGTGGTCACAGCAAATGTTAATGATACCTAGACCAAAGTACTGGACTCCAGGGCTTTTTGCCTCTCCTCCCACTTATACCTCACCTGTCCCAAGAGAAAGAGGAGGAGAAGCCTTGGATCAATTCTATCAACATTCTTCATACTTAGGACAAAGAAGCTAATGTCTTGAGCTAAGTCATCCTGTTAAGTCTCAGATTGAATGCAAAATAATAGTCTACGAGATAACCTTCTGTCTCTACTTCATCTAAGTACTTAATTTGATTCTTCACTGTATTACTATTAAGAAGGTGAATATCAGGGAAATCTGTCTTTTCAGATCTAGGTTGAAGATAATGGTTAGATAGATTTAAAATGCCCTATCCAAAGACATGGCATACTTTTTAAAAAGTTATAGTTTTTGTTTTGTTTTTTACCTTAAAAGTCAGAGATGAGTCTTTTTGTAGTGGATAGTGCTTACACTAACCATATTGACTCATAACTGTTCAAAATGCAAACACTACAAAGGCTCAGCTGCAGACTGAGCATCTGTATCAACCCACCCCAGCCTAAAGCTCAGAGAACATCAAGGAAGAGGAGGAGGAAAGAATGTAGGAATTAGAGGATAGGGATCTGTGCTTTCAAATGTTTTGTGGATATAATATGACTGCTGAATTCATGAACTCGGCATCTGTGGTCATCTACACAAGCCAGTGAAAAGCGCAGCAAGGCTGGGGAAAAGGCTACCAAGGTCCCACTTCTTGCTGAGTTCTTGGTTCCTAATGGCTGCAAGAGGAGGTTGGGGATGTAGTCATTGGTAGGTTGCCCACGCCCCTGGTGATGGCCTCACACCAAACATAAATTGATCTTAATAAAAACATAAAAAAGAAAACAAAAAGTTGGGAGGCAGATGTGTCCTTTATGGGAATCAAAGAAGGACTTGGAGGAGGTAGTCAGGGGTGGATATAATCAAAATACATCGTACACATTTTTTTGAATTTTCAAAAATAAACAAAAATACACTTTGACAATCCATATTTGCAAGGTGACCATAAAACAGAGTTAACAATACAAAAACCACTTATTTTACTTTGTAATAAAAATACAAAAAATTAAATTACCCCCCCCAAATATTTTTGTTCTGGGATCTTTAATATATAAGCATTAAAACCATAACAGAAAGTAATGAAAAATGTCAGCCTAAGGTCCACCATATTGATGTTGTCTCTGAAAGCTTTTTTTCTCCATAGAACTTTTGTTTTTGTTTTACACTTCTGTGTTTTCTAAATATGTATACAAAATATGCACATTGGGTTGAAAATCACATGTAAATTCCATTAGATATTTTGAGAAATTCTAATGGCATTAGCTACTTACCAAATACTCAGGACATTTCAGTCTTTTAGCTGTGGATGTGACTCATCTTCTGTTCTCTCTTACTCATATTCCCAAGGAGCAAGAACCGAGACACTTGCATCTGATGTTCTCAGATATCACTGTCCAACAGCCATGATAGATTTTTATTTTAAAATATCCAGAAAATCCTCAGTGTTTTTAGAGATGATAGAGATTAATGCCTGCAAAAAGTAAAGGCATTTTCTTGTTTACATAAAACTAAGAACTTATATTTTACATTTTAATTTCTGCTTTAAAATGTATTTGCCATCAGAAACTCCAATTTTCAAAAAATACATCTACAAGATGAAGCTCTCAATCCAAATGAGACTCCGAGTCAATGTTAGGGCAAGAATTCTGACTAAAAATTACACTTGGGACAAACAAAAAAGAGAATGAGAAAGAACAAACATTTCACCGCCTCTGCGCCAGACCCCACAAACACAAGGTGCTGACTACTTTCCACAGAGTCTTGAAGGACGATTCCTACAACCAGGAACCAGATACTTGGAAAAAGTCCTGGTTAAAACCCTTTATTGCTAATAAATTCTTGGAAATTTCCATTCTTTCTCTTCTCTTTTATTTATATACCCCAATGTTATGTCAAAGTGGTTCCACTAGAATAAGTTGAGTGCCTTTCTTGCCCCAGAATATCATGGAGAAAACGCTAGCTCAGCAGATTTTTCCTTTAGGAAGTATAGATAAGAAATAAGAAAAGAAGAAGAAGAAGAAGAAGAAGAAGAAGAAGAAGAAGAAGAAGAAGAAGAAGAAGAAGAAGAAGAAGAAGAGGGGAAGGAAGGAAGGAAGGAAGGAAGGAAGGAAGGAAGGAAGGAAAACCTCACCATATTGAAAAGGCAATGATCTGGGTGAGAGGGGAGGTGTGGGGGGCTGGGAAAGGGGAGAGATGAGAGGCTGTGGTTGGAATGTATTGCATGAGAAAGAATAATAAAAAGACAAGAAAGCAATGAAAAAATCTGTATGTAAAAGTTGCCAAAACATATTCTCAGAAAGTAAATTACTATTCTTAATAGAAAACATATTTCATCAAAAATGTATTTTTTAAAAAATAGGTGATGGTAAATCTCAATACCTTTAATGTTGTAATCTTCTTAGGAAATATGCACATCAAATCAGAAACCCAAACTGCCAATTATAAAATTTTATTGGGAACCTGTTTGGGTCTGAAGATCAATAGTTATAAAAAAATTACCTGAATTATTGTCTGCTTTTGTGGTTTATTTTTACAACACGAAAAGTAGTCAACACATTCTGATGTCTATGATTTTGAAAGTTTATTATTCGGGCTCAAAAAGTCTAGCTTAATTCATGATTAGCTGTATTTTACATAACATTAATAAATGTAATTACATTTACTAAAACATACACCCATTCAGGGTGAAATTACTGAATTTAAAATAGACAACCAATTGTCGAAAATGTCTCCAGATATAAGGAAGATGGAAGTTAATTTTTCTACAATTACCTAGAAGCTTAACATTATTATCATGCTGGCAAATAACTTCGTTTTAAAAGTTTCTCAGACTTCTGTTTGGCAGGATGAAAAATTGTGACTATGCAGCACTTCAGTGGAGTGAAGCAAGAGCCATCATCAATCAACAGTCATTTTGTCACAACAACACCCAACGGTAAGATGGATATGTTTTGAGGGGTTTTAGTTTTTCATTGAATTTGCTAGTTGGATAGGCATCTTTTGCTCACAGTCTGAAAGTCTAGGGAATTGGCTGAGAAAATCTGGGAATACAAACAAAAACTTGAGTCATTTTAGAATTATTTAGGCATGAAAAATGGATCAGTAGCTTCCTCATATCAGGCCAGATTAGTGTTAAAGATGTAAAAGCCACATGTCAATGGTGCTACTGATATATTAAAAGTTTAATGTTAGGGAATTTCATTAATTCTTTCTTGTTCTTTCTTCCAAGAAATACCAAACTGAACTTGATGAACCTAGAAACTTTGCAAAAAAAAAAAAATGGCTTGTATATATTTTACTAAATAGCTCTTTTACTTTCATAAAACCCTTACTCATTCAATAAAGTGACACATGCCAAGTTAATTTCGACAGAGCAAGAGATTACCTTTGGTCATGACGATGACTCTGTGGTTTCATCCACGCCAGAGACCACACCTAATCTGTGTGTGGCCTGGAGACTTTGGAAGGAATTGAGTTCATGATCTGAGACTTCTGCCTTCACTGATACCACAAACACAGTGCCATTCCATCAGTACAGCACTGGTTACAACTGTCTCTGGTTTGAGCTTTGGAAGTGATTTGCATTCATCACTGAATGAAATCAAAGTGTGCATGCACTGTCTTCCCATTTGCTAACGCCTCTGGGTAGTGAGGGCCTCAGTGCTCAAAAGAGTTGTCAATCAAAACACTTGTGTTCCATAGCTGGGTGAAAATAAACACAAAGATGACCGTATATGCAGAAGCTATGCTGTGACTATATACCATGAGGGTTTATGAACACATACAAGGCAGGCAACATCTAATGGAAACATTAAACTAAAATGTCGTCATTACTACTTAATATGGGAATTGTCAACCACCTGCCAAACTCTACAGATTAACATACAGACACATGCATGTGCAGACACATTCATAAACACAAGAATTTCCTTGAAACAATAGTTGGCTTTAAATAAACTATTTTAGAATAATTTTATTTTTAGAGTTACAGTACAGGGGATTCTGATACAGCAGGTGCCCCTTTCCTCAGCGCACCATCTGACTTTCCCAGCATTCAGTTTTAAGACTCAGAACCAATATACCTGTTTCTATTAATTAAACCTCAAACTTCATCCAGATTGCACCAGTTTTTGTATGTTTGTTTGGTTGGTTGGTTTTTCGAGATAGGGTTTCTCTGTGTAGCTTTGGAGCCTATCCTGGCACTCGCTCTGGAGACCAGGCTGGCCTCGAACTCACAGAGATCCGCCTGCCTCTGCCTCCCGAGTGCTGGGATTAAAGGCGTGCCCAGCGGATTGTACCAGTTTTGTCTTTAGTGGTAGATTTCTGCCTTAGTAGCCAATGCAGGATCCTACTTCGCAGATACTTGTTGTATCTATGAGATTCTTCTGTAATAAAAATAAAATACCATTCTCATCAGATCCTAACAGAAGTCCATGACTCATCAGTACAACTCATGGCAAACCACTCATATGGATAAGGTCAGTTGTACCATGCCTCTTACTATTTTAAACACTACTCAATAAAAAAAGTGATTCTTAGGTGAATTCTTCCTGCCCCAAGTCTAGGGACCTTGAACAGAACTGTGTTGGTCCTCCAGAGCCCAGAGCCATTATTTTTAAATATATTTTTATCAATTCTTTGAGAATTTCATATGTGTGTGTAAACATATATATACATATATACATATTTTATTCACATCCCACTATTTCCCTAACTCCTCCTGAATTTACCTCCCACACTTCTCTACTTCATATCCTCTATTTTTTTTATAATTCACATATTCCAATTAAAGCTGCTCAATCTCTTATGGGTATGATACCATCCACTAGGTATGGTTGACCTACCACTGGTCACACCTTTAAGAAAAAGTGATTCTCCCTCCCCCAGTAACCAAAAACTGTCAACAGCTCCTCCCCTTAGAGGCAGGAATGGCATCTCCCTTCTCCAGACTGGAATGTTGATGGGCTTGATTTTGTGATGGACTTGTGAAGGCAACCACAGCTGCTCTGAGTTCAGCAGACTTTCATGTCTGGGATATTCTGTTTAACCCATATCCTCCCCAAACTCTGGCCATTGCAATATTCCTGTCCCTTATTCCAAGGGGGTCTCCAAGCTTCAAAGGCATGAGGTGTAATTCACCCAGTTATGACTAAACACACATCACAGACATGATCCCTCTGCATTTTGAATGCCAATGCTGCATTATTAATTCTGTTGCTCAATCCTCTTACCCCTGGCACTGGATCACTCTCTGATTAGGTCAGTATTACCCCTTCTTTTGTCTTTTGTTTTAGAGACAGGAGAAAGTATAAATAAGTGAAGCAATTGTTTTGAGAAACAAACACATCGATGTTCCTTTATTTTGAGAAGCACAAGTACCCCAATTCAGAATTTGCCTTATTTCACCAAAATTTTTCAGGGAAAATAAAGCTTTTATTTATCTTTCAGTACTGCTATTCTTGAGCAGCTGAGAAGCTCAGAGTAGAACCTATCCATTATTACACCCAGTCCTGGGCATTATCCATTTCACACACCTGGAAGTCATCTTTGAACTCTCCCACTCTCCTCATCTCCTCTAGCCATTCAAAACTCAAGTGCTGAGATCATAAACATCTGTCAACATCACTCAAACAATTTAATTCCCTCCCTTAATCTTAATTCAAGAACACCGTCCCTCCTCTTCAATCCCCAGGCTGAGACCACAGGGAAGATCATACAGATGCAGTTTTGATTTTAGGCATGCCACTCAATCCAGGTGTAACAGTGGTAGAATTGATTGACGCCTCACGTTTATATTTGAAAACTATTCATCAATAAGGAATGTATCTGGAATTTTGTGAACATATTAAGTCAGGAGTAGATCCCTCATGAATGAATATTGATTCCTGTATTAGTTGCTTTCCTCATTACTCTGAGAAAATAACTAAGAAGAGCAACTTCAGGAAGGATGGGTTTACTTTGGCTCGTGGTTGATGGTACAGTCCATCATGTTGGCAAGCATGGCAGCAAGAGCATGAGTTATTTGGTCATATCGCATCCATAGTTAGTAGGCAAAGAGATGAATACTGATAGCTGCCTCACTTCCTTCCTTTATTCACTCTGGGCCCCTAGTCCATAGGACAGCATAGCACATATTCAGGGTAGCTCTTCCCATTTCATTAAATCTCTTTGAAAACACTGTCACAGACCTGACCAGATGTGTGTCTTCCAAATCCCATCAAACTGACAGTCATAATCATGCCTTATCAACTTGACAACCTTACTTTAAAATTACTTCATTCAACCCCTAATCCCTAAAGTCTCATGTTCATTTCCTAATGAAAAATACATTCAGCCCAACTTCAAAATATTATTTTAAAAGTTTTAACACTAATCTAAATGTGTAGACTCTTCTGGGACTCAAGACAAACTCTTAACTGTGAGACCCCTGTAAGAACAAAATATGATCTGTATACTTCCATTATATAAAGACACATAGAACACATTCCCATTTCAGAGAGAAGATCGGTAGAGTAGCAAAGAAATATCAGGCCAAAGCAAAGTTGAAGCCCATCAGAGAAAGCAGTAATAACAACAGCTCTACATCCAGCATCTAGGGATTTCAACGGGATATCTTGGCTCCAATGGCCTTTGATAGACGTGACTCTTGAGTTTTGCAAGCCATCAGAGCATTTAGCTTCTCTCTGTGGTTGGCTGTACTCCCTACATGAAGTTTTTCTTCTGCAAACATCCAACAGTCCCTGGACCTTCAACATCCTGGGATCTCTATTGTAGCTTAGGCTATGTCTTTTGTTACCTTCCACTTATGAATAATTAGTCAATGTTTACTATTTTAATTAGCATATAGTAATTGTACCTGTTTATGATATATGATAATATATATGCAATTAATTCTGAGTATTTACAATTATACCTCAACAAACATTTATCATTTCTATGTATTTAAATTATTCAAATTTATTCCTCTAGATCCTCATGAAATATGTAATAAATTGTTGCAAACTATGATCATTCTAATGAGCTATAAACACTACTGTCCTTATCATCCAGTCTCCTTCTCTCTTGCTATACTTCTCACACCCCATGACCACATTCTCTCTTCAATGACAGTAACAGCCAGATAAGGTTGAAAACATGCAATATTTGTCTTTGTATGTATGGTTTCTTTCATATAACACAATGCTTTTCAATTCTATACATGCATTTTACTATCACTTTCAAGGTTTCCTTCATAGCAATTTTTAGAGTAGTAAGAATGGTTATCTTCAATGTCTTCCTCACACTCTCAAATATAAACTTGAATGTTGCTCAAGGACTGAGTAATTGTTAAATCACATCTGAAGAATTGAGATTAGCTTCATATTTGAATTATCTATGTACACACTAAGGTCATGGAGAGTGACTCCTTCATTAGCCGAAGCCCTCATGGCAATTAACAGAGAATAAGTGATTGTGAAATTCTCATCCATAAATAGGTGACTTTTCTAAGAGGAGCAGACCTTCCACAGAACTGGAAAACATAGCCAATCCTTGGGAGACTGGTAGAGGAGCTTAAGACTTCTCCTCCGGCACCTTGGGTAGATATAGTGGACAATGGGAGTCTGAGTCCCCAAGCTAGTAAAAGAGCACACATGATCCTCAGGCATGACACAGGTGTGAGTGGAGTTGGTGGGAAAAATGAGGGTCCCACATAGAGAAGGGCTGGTCAGCAGGAGAACAAAATGTGTTTCTCAGGATTGCCATGCATGGCGTTAGTGATGTGACTCTGGAGTCCTCATGTGGAGAATGAAGTCTGTTGGACAGGGACAAAGGCAGATAGGGTTAGCTGACTGATTCTAGCCTCCTGAAGGGAAGGGAGCAGAGAGGAAGTGGGGGAGGGTATAGCTCTCATGTAGCCCATCTGGGGGCTGACATGAACCTAGGTCCTCATCCTGGAAAGATGGACCAAAAGAATACCTGGAAGGTAGACCTGAGACATATGTCTCTCAGGCAGCAGGCCATGGAGATGGGTGAAGATTTCAGAATCAGTCTGGGATCCCTGATTGGAGACCTCTGGTCTGAGGATGGACTCCAGGTATGAGTCCCTTTGTAACTGTTTTATAATATAATTTGTATTTTGAAAGTTTCAGAGACCTCACACTGTACATTTGTGTGCTTTTCCCTTGTAATGTGTGTTCTTTAAGAAGCCCGTATATGGTGGTTTTCAGGGACAGGTCAGGAGGTTGAGGACTGACAGCACTAGTTTTCTGAAAACAAGGAGAAAAGGCCAAACTAGCAGGTTTTCCTTGACTCAGCACATGATATCCTCCACCATGACATGATGTAGTGAAAAGGCCATCACTAGAAAAAAAAAACTTATTTTTCATTTGCCTATAACAAATGACTTTTGATTCCTGAGGTATAAAAAGAATTTTCTGGAACTGGCTAATATTGGGGTTCCCTTTAGCACCAAGCCAACATTTGAAAGACTGTTCATTGTAAGGCAAAAAGAAACAACACTTTCTGGTTTTAATATATTTATAATCATGAGTCTTAATTGTAAAACGTCTTCTTGGCTATGAAGACTACTTCTCCCACCTTTCCCTTTTTGCAGCATAGGGACAGTGCAATAATACCAAGAAAGAAAATGAGCACAATGTGCAGATCAGCCTAGGAAGCCATAGCAAATCCAGAGATAGAATGAGAACTCATTTCATCATGTGTTGCTCCAGGAACCAGAATGCTAATAAAGGAAAATTCTCTCCTAAGGAAATGGAGAGCAATTATGATATCATATGCACACGTTTGCATGCATCTGTGTGTATTATTGTGGTGTTTATACTTGGTGACATATAAGCCCTGAGAAATCTTTCATATTTACAATGAATGACTATCACCAAATCAAATTAAATTACAAAAGTAATATTTCTATTTTATATAATTTGCAGATAGTTGCCAGAACATGTTCATTGTGTCATTTTATTATTCAATAATTTTCAATAGCTCCCTGTGGTCTTCACTTAAACTCCATAGATATCAAAACATTATATTGTTCATTCCACATAAATTTATTCCCATGTGCCCTGTCAAGGATCTTCTCTTTTAGGTTTCTTTTGCTCATCTTTCTGTCATACTGGTTAGTATGTCATTAATCTAAGTGGAGTCAATCTCTTAAGATGCCCTGGAGAACATGTGGATGTCTTACTCCTCTGATGGACTTGTTCCTTCCATAACCAGCCCAGGTTACAGTGTTTCTTCAATCACTACTTTTCATCTTACTTGGGTGATTTTTAAGTATGTATCAGACTCCTCTGTCTGCAGGCAGTCTTATGTAGCATAAGACTTCGTATTTGTCTTCTTTATTATGTTCATTGTACCTTCTACTGCTGAACATCTTATTGAGAGAACTAACAGTTTTAATATGTGTATACTAAAGGCAAATATTTTCAAGTGTGTTAGAGTAGAAGTTTTAATCTGGTAATTTTCATTTTTCCTCATTTCCAATTAAATAGTATCTTCACTCTTTCTAAAATAATGTTTATATGTTAACATGGATGAAATGCATCTATGTGAACTAGAGAGATGTCTCAGCAGTTAAAGCACTTGCATCACAAGCAAGAATATGAGAATACAGATCCACAAAGCTCACATAAAGACTGAATACTGGGGGTGCCGCCTCTGTACTTCTAGCCTCAGAAGGAACAGACAAAAGATCACTGGAACAAGGGGCCTACCAGGTCTTGGTTTGGTTAAGAGACCCCACCCAAACAATAAGGTAGAAGAGTGATCAACTAAGATTCTCCATATCTATTTCAGACCTGTACAGGTACATGCATCCCACACAAGCACAAGCACATACAAACACATGAACACACACCACATACATAAACATGAAAACATATTTAACACAAAATAGTAAACAGGTTAGAAGCAAGTTTTTCTCTGAGTGGATGCCTGGAACCCATGGTTTTTATCCTCTAATAAGGAAAGGAATGGTACATGGTTGGGTCACAAGCTTTCTCAGACAAACGTGGCAGCTACAAGGCACATTTACACTCTCAAGAGCAGCTCCATGTTACAAAGAAGGGTCACAGTGGGTGGGGCAAGACAAAATAATCATCATGCTGGAAGAAGCAATTTCCCAGACATCTGCTAGAAAAGAATACAATGAAAATTTGTCAGAAACCTTATAAGCCAGGCTCTTTGGCTGTTATGGACTGTGACCCCATGAACTGTTCTTTGGGGATCACTCCCTACATAGATCTTATTAGGAGATTCATCTTCAGGGAGGCCAGCTACCACTCAAGAGCTTTCAGTTTCTTTAGCTTTCCAACTATGCGATGTTTTCCTCTATGCAATGTTTTCGCATAGAGGGATACTCCCTCAGCCTAGACACACAAAGGAGGGCCTAGCCCCTATCCCAAAGGATAGGACAGACTCTGAAGATCCCCCATGGAAGACTTCACTTACACCGGGGAGCAGAATTGGTATGGGATAGGTAGGGTGTTGGGGGGGGGCAGGGAAGGAGGGGAGAGAGAGGGAACTGGGATTGATATGTAAAACCATCTTGTTTCTAATATAAATAAAAAAAATGGATTAAAAAAGTAAGTTACTAGGAGATTTTCCTAACACTAGACAGCTATTTTTGTGGTTGTTGTTGTTTATCTTGATCTTAGCCATTCCAACTTGGGGAAGAAGAAATCTCAAAATAGTTTCAATTTGCATTTCCCTATGACTAAGGGTATAAGACATTTAAAAAATATTTTTCAGCCATTTTTATTTCTTCTTGAGAACTCTGCTTACTTCCATGCCCTGGTTCTAAATTGGGTTGTTTGGTTTCTTATTTATTTTTTGTTTTTGTGTTCTTTGTACATTACAGGCACCAGCTTTGTCTCTGTTGATTAGCTGTAAATATTGTTTTCCCATTCTGTGGCTGTTTCTTCACATAAATGATGGTGTCCTTTGCTGCATGCACAGTTTTTTAGTTTCATAAGATCCCATTTATCTGTTATTGGTGCTAATGTTATGCTATTGGGTAGGTTCAGAAAGTTCTTTCCTGTGCCTGTAGCTACAAATATGTTTCCTACTTTCTCTTTTAGCAGATGCAGGTTATCAGATTTTGTGTTGAGGTCTTTGATCAACTTGGACTTGATATTTATGCATGCTGTGAGATAAGATATAGTTTTCTGTTTCTACATGTAAGGATCCAGTCTGACCATCACCATCTTTTGAAGATGTTTTCTTTTCTCCAATGTGTATTTTATTGCCTCTTTGTCAAAAGTCATTGACTCTATAGGAGTGTGGGGGGTCCTCAAGTCACTTCCACTGTTTAATGTATCTGATTTTTGTAGCAGTACTATGCTGTTTTTGTTACTTTAACTCTCAGGTATAACTTGAAATCTTGGATGATCTTATCTCTAGTAAATATTATATTGTTCAAGATTATTGTGACTATACTGCATCTTTGATGCTTCCATATTAAAATTAGGATTTTTTTAAAAAATTCTGTATAATAATTGTTTGGAATTTAGATAGGAATTGTATTTAATCTGTAGATTGCTTTTGATGAGATAGTCATTTTCACAATATTAATCCTACAAATTGATGAGCATGAGAATTGTCCCATCTTCTGGCATTTTCTTTAATATCCAACTTTTTATTGTACAAATCATTGAATTCTTTGGCTAGATTATGTATGTATTATGTATGTATGTATTATGTATGTATGTATGTATATGAGGGTCTAGTGAATGGCATTGCTTCTCTGATTTCTTTCTCAGTGTATTTGTCATATGTTTGTGGTAGAATCTTCAGGGTCTTTTATAGAGAGAATTATGTCATCTGAAAATGAAGATAATTTGATTTCTTCTTTTCCTATTGACATTCCCTTTATTTCATTCACTTGTCTCATTGCTCTATCTAACACTCCAAGTATGATATTGTAAAGGTGTCTTGTTCCAAATTTTGCAGGAAAGCCTTTGAGTTTTTTCTCCTTTGAACATGATATTGGCTATGCAATTGTTTTATATTGCCTTTATGATGACTAAATATGTTACTTGTATCCCTAGATTCTAGAACTTTTATCATGAAGGGAAGTTCAATGTTATTAAGGGTATTTCTGAATAGCTAATAAGATGACCATGTGGTTTCTGTCCTTTAGTCTGTTTATGAGGGCAAATTACTTTTATTGATTTATGGATATTGAACCAATCCTGCACATCCAGGATAAATTTATTTATTTGGTATGGTTTTTGATGTACCTCATAATTTAGTTTACTAATAGTTTACTGAAAATGTTAGTATATGTATTTACTAGACAGACTAAACTATTGTTTTCTTTATCATGTGTTTTTACTTGGGTTTGGTATTAGGGTAATACTTAATTCATAAAAATAATTTGAAAAGGTCCTTTCCTTTTATATTTTATGAAACAATTAGAGAAGAGCTGGGAATAGTTCCTCTTTGAAGGTCTGGTATAATTCTATGGCAAATCTATCTGGCCCCAGTATTTCTTTTAACTTGGGAGATTTTTAGTTATTACATCTACCTTTTTGGTTATTATGGGTCTGTTTAAATCATTCGTTTTATCTTGATTTAACTTTGGTTGGTCATCTACATCTAGAAATTCATCCATTTCTATTAGAAGAACCTAGATTTTGAAAATATGTCCTTATTCTCTGAATTTCTCTGTGCTAATTGTAATGTCTCTCTTTTTACCTCTAATTTACTTAATTTGGATCTTATCTCTTTCTATTGTTTAATTAGTCTAAAGGTTGGTTTACCTTGTTAACCTTCCTAAATAACTAACACAATTTCATTGGTTCTTTTAATTTTTTCATTTCTATTTTATTGATTTCAGCCCTGATTTTGGTGGATTTCACCTACCATTTTGGTTATTGCTTGTTCTTATATTCTAAGGTCTTCATGTATATCATTAAGTTATTAATTTGAGATCTCTGAATTTTTTGATTCATGCACATAGTGATGCAAACTCTTAAGACTGCCTTCAACATAACATTTGTGATCCATGTTCATGAATGTGTAATGAAGCTGTGTTTCTGTTTAGATACAAGTGCAGCTTCAGCTTCTGTTTAGTAACACTTTCTACCATTGATTAAATGAATGTATTTTTTGAAGAGGTTTACATACTATAAGTAAACACTGGTTATAACAATAAAGTTGAATTCTAACTCTAAAAAAAAATGACTGCCTTCATTATGTCACATAGATTTTGGATATGTTGTGTTTTCATTTTAATTCAGTTCTAGGAAGGCTTTAATTTCTTTTCTTGATTTCTTCATTGGTTCAGTTATGCTTCAGTAGTAATTATGCTTTTTAGTCTGTATACTTTCTAATTTCCATGATTGACCATAGCCAGCTTTATTCTATTGTAGTCATATACAGTCTAGGATGTAATTTCAAAAACCTACCCTTTTATGCTATTATTCCTATAGCCTCCTCTTTTTCACTATATAGGAGAAAATGAAGAATAAAGGACAGAGAAATAAAGAAAGAAAGGAATCCCTTAATCTAACCCTCTTTGTTTAGTTTACTCCCTGACCATGACCAATAACAACTTGCAACTAATGTGCTCCCCCCAACAATGATACAAAAAACTCCATAACCCACTGAATGACCTAAAACCGCTTACCCTACCTCATAGGAATGTGGGCATCATATTCTTACAATTACTTCCTGTTGTCTGGGGGCAACAGTATCCTTAGAGGACTCTGAGAAATTTGGGATAATGGCTAAGTCCTTGAAGAGGTAGCTGTATCATTTGTGGTCCAGTCTCTGTGTGATGGGAAAGTATGGGTTTTAAAGTAGTCTATGAGACTGAACCACCTCAGCTTTGAAATTGTCCTGGATGTAGATTTTTTAGGAAACTGTAATAGAGGCATTCTGGGAGGCTACTTGTCTTCATGGGTGTCTGAACCTTTTGTTCTGAAAACATACAAACTTTTAAAGGTAACATACTTATCTGCATTAACACAAGTGTGGGATGTGTGATGCACACAAGTCAGCTAAAGATGATTTTCTGTTCTATGTTTGAGCAGGTAAAAGGCATCTGTTAACTTTATAAATACATTTGGACTGCATAACCAAACTGTAATATAAATCTTCATCCATGCCATCATTAGGGCTCTGGAGCAAACAAAATTTATCATATCTCATCCAGTCTCAGAGCTGTTCTCATATAGAAGAATCAGCATATACAACACCTGTCTGGTGCAGCCCAAGATTTTTTGAGAGGTCTCCATCTGATCTTTATTAATTTTGAAGAATCCATAGCTTTTCATTTCCTGTGGAAAAAAAAGGCATAACCTCTTCCCCCTATGTAACACATTTCCTGACTTCCATTCTGAAGTTAAGACATTCTTAAAGTTTGATTCAGTAGTTTTTCCCACAATCCCAGGTCTGGGAAGTTGCTGTGAAAGGTTTTTCCATCTAGTCTACTGCCAGGTAGTTCACCCGTTGCTTACAGACCCTACAGTTGGATATACAGATGTCCATATGGATGCCAAAGGTAGTTGGACTAATTTGGACTTCTATTCCCAAATAATGGCATAGAGACTTTTTGCTAACTATGAAAGCTTGGATTGTTCCCAATTTGATCTTAAAACTTAAATTAACCTATTTATATTAATCTACATTCTGCCACGTGGCTCATTACCTTTTCTCAGAACAGTATGTCCACCTTCCTCCACATCTGGCTGGTGAATCTCCATCTCTCAGATTCTTTCCCCAAGTCCCTCTCTCTCCCTGGAAATCCTGCCTATACTCTATTGCCTAGCTATTGGCCATTCTGCTCTTTATTAAACCAATCAGACGATGCCTCAGGCAGGTAAGGAAGGTCAGACATATCTTCACACAGTTCAGTCAAATATCCCACAACACACATGCCTCTTAGATTGTAGGGGCTGGAGCCACAGAGAAAGCAGGTGGTGTTACCTAGGGGAGGTACACAGGATGCCAGGTTCTCACACAGCAGGAATAGATTCACATCAGGCTATCAGTCCCTATATGGAGAAGACATATGGTCTTCAGGTAGAGTCAGGATGGAGGTCCCTTCCTGAGAGTGGCAGACATGTTTCATGTTTCATGCGTCGTGTTTACTTAAAACAGAAAAAGAAAAAGAAAATACTTCCAAAAGCCCTTCTTGTTTCCAGATAAGTCAGCCAGCCTTATAATGGGCTCCACAATCTCTTCCTCTGACTGTCTTCATGACCTGTATGGAAATTGCCAAGGTCATGAAGCCATGAAGACTTCAATAAAGATTTTTAAATAAATTCTTTCATTTGCCTCTCCCCCTTTTGTGGACAACAAAATTCTTCAGAACTCTCTGGGTTCTCAGCAGAGAGTTCATTAGCAGGTAAATCTTCAAAGGCAATAAGGGGCATCATTCAATTTGAATCTTGCTCAGTGAAACTTAATTACTAATGAATACTGAGCTGTGAATGGGTTGATTTTCCCCCTGACT